TATTTAATTATATTTATTAACTTTTTAATTAAAACACTTTAACGGTTTAAAACGCGATATATAATAGTTAAACGTATTTGATTATTTTACCTGTTACTGCTTTACGGCATCTATCGCCACAGCGATAATACATACAAAACGTCGGGCTGTGTTAAAATAAGTTTAACTGATTTATATCGCGTTTTAAACTTAACGGTGTTTTATTTATTAATTTAATATGTATATACTATCTTGTTGGTCGTTACAGTATAATATGACACAGGCAGGACTCAAATAGGCATTTTTGAACTGTTAATCTTAACTAGCGACAGCAAATTCCCACTTGGCCCATAAATAAAACCTTATTGACGTTCAAAAAGCACCGCGTGACGGCCGGAGGTCTCAGCACTGGCGATACGGGTCGGATGGCAATTGATTCCGAACGCGACTACATCTGATTGAGTTAACTGTATCGGCTATAAAATTTGAGTTTAACCTTTGCATACTGGAGTTGTAGAAACGAGTCGGTACACGCGCGGTGCCACATCGAATCAAAACATACGCGCGCTTAAAACACCCTCACAAAATTTTAATAGCTTTAAAATTCGAATTCATTAAAAAATAGATATTTATTTAATACAGCTTTATTATTCATAATACATACCACAAAACAAAAATACAAGAGAAAAGACCTTACGTATTAACTAATAAATAAAAGGTAGCCTTATCGCTAAGCACTGTTTTATTTCAGGCAACCTGTAGAGGAGAAGAGAATATAAAAAAGTCATATGTTTTATTTACTAAATAATGGAGGGATGGAAAGAAAATTGTTTCAGTATTATAAGCTCTAGAGTACAGTTATATAGATTGAAATATCTCTTGTAGAAGTGTGTGTTATTCTTATATTTACGCCTTAATTAATCCTTCAATTTGGCAATCTAAACTATCGGAAAATTTTAAAATTCCATGTTAAAGAACAACATTAAAGAGCAACATTAATGTTATATTTCTTTATAAGCTTATTTTATTTAATTACTTACGAAAATGATGAGTATTTATTCATTTATATTTTGTCGCACAAATATGGTTCTAGTTTTAAATAAAAAAAAATCGAAACTACACACGTACACATATATAACCTGTATAGAGTATAACCAGTTAAGCATATCATTACATTATCAACTAATAAGTTCTTAGTGAAAATAAATCGTAATAAAACAATTATCACCCCAATCTACTAAAGAAAAGTAGGAAAAGATCAGACAGTAATATAAAACGATGAAGAAGTATCCGCAAGAGATAATACTACATTGTTCATAACAGGGAAATAAGTACAATGTGTTTAATCCGTGTCACAGATCAAGAAAGTTCACGACGCAATAGACAAGCTTTTCTAGTTATTAATAGAGACTGTAGATGGCGCTACTTCACGCTTTCACTATGTTAACGTTTCTTTTGTAAGAGCAATTCGGATAGACCATTAACGTTTTACATTGTTAGAACTAACGTCGAGCTTGTGTATGACGTGCCAGATCTTTTTTCTCTCATTTATTAACTACATCGACTGTAGCCACGCGGTCCAGAGTTTGAATACTGCGTCGGGAAAAATATTTGGAAATATTCTGAGAAAATTTTCGAAGTTCATCTTTGTCTCTGGAAGTCAGTAAGTTCCTGATATCATCATTGATTTAATGGCGATCGTCATTAAATTCACCAACACACACTGGAACGGAACCATGTAACAGAAGTAACCATATATGGAGTGATAATAACTTCAAACGAAAAGCAAAACATTAAATTATTACGCAATATATTTTGTCGAACAGTTTTCATTTATTTTAATATGGTGACCTAGATTCAATTTATCAATTACATATTTATCAATCATAATTAATTGATAAACATATACTTAAACCACCACCACAATTTTCCCGTTGATAAAATGTCAGCATTCAATCTATACAAAGTTTGATAAATTGAAAGTATGATTATAGCAATAAAAATATTGGTTCTACCACTTTTTTATAATAATAATCGATAAATTGTTTTAGCTCTTGCAGATCACGGACAACGGTTTCCATATTCTTCTGCTTAACGGTACAAAATAATTGATCGACTGAAAAAACTCATGGTATTGTAACCGCAGTTACAAAATTTGATTAGCAGAATGGTCACGTTGAAATTCTTCTAATAGTTTGCGGAGTAATAATATTTATGGATACGTCATATCATTAATGGTGATTATTATGTATGTTTTTAAATAATACAATTATTTTTATTTCTGCATTCTAATGAACTATTTGTATTCATCGACTAATTGTATAATGAAAAATATTTTACCACACCTTGAACAATGAATATATATACATTTTTTAACTTAGGTTCTATGTGTATTAAAAGTGAAGTGTTATCTTTATATATCTATCTCAAATCTTAGTAATAAAATGAAACAAGTTTTCCTTATTATAAACTCTTTAAAACATAATAAACATTGCTTGAAACTTTTGTTTGTTGTTGAAATTTTGTGTCGAAAACAAATTGGATTTTGGCCACAAAAGATTTTTATGTTTTTTACTTGTAGATGATTACATTTTTATAGTATTCAATTTTTTTTGTCGAATTTGAACTTTGAATTAGGTATGATTAACTAAGATATAATAACAGGGATTTAATTTTTGATCAGATTTCTTTATGTAATGGAAAAGTCTTTGCCCGTAGTATTAAATGCCACATCCAAACATAACTTTCTAGAGCCTTGTATTTAGTTTCGTCGCGTTCAGGGGCAAGTGGAACGGTACCGCGGACGACGACCTTAGATCAACGATAACTCATCCTCGTATTTGCTCACTATTATCGAATGAGAGCCAATGAGTGTATAAAACTATGTGATACCGACTAACGTGACTATGCGGAAATGTGCTTCATCTTAATATCGAACTTAACTCGAAGTAAACTTTGATACGATAGAATTTTCACCTACCCAAAGGGGAATTTTACGTCTTACAGACTGGCAAGGAAAAGTTCTACTTACTACTTACTCTTTAAAAGCGTGGGGCATCGCTGAACGCATTTTGTTACTTCCAGGTACAACAAAAGCTGAGTTGTGTCCATCCACATACATCTAAGTAAGTATCTAAGAAAAATTGTTATTTGTGTTATTTTTTTGTTAAATTATGTAGTCATTTATTCCAGACAACCTACACGACTGACCCAGGTAAATATTATTACAAAACAAAGGTATTTTTTTCCTTTTTTTTACTTAAGTCAAATTCTTTCAATGTATTAAGGCATGTGTACATATTAAGTCTAATGATAGACATAAAGGCATGAGAGATTCCCAAATTTAACTTTTACGATCGATGTTAAAAGAAATTCATTAACTTATGCATACTACAGAGTTCACTGATCGACGCATCTATTAATATTCAAATTCCAAATATTGTATTCAATTCCGGCTCAATATTTTTATTTTGAACCCGAGCAATGCGCGGCGGGTATCTGGAATTAGCTGTTTCAATACACAACTTGTTTCGAAGTTTATTGGAGGTACTGAACTTCCTTAATAGATAACATTGTCTTTGATTTACGGGATTCTTGAGAGAAATGTAGATATACAACTTCTTGCTTTGAAACTAGCTGGGATATACTAGCAATATAACATACATACACGTACCTTAGGTTTAGTATCTTAAACGTTAGTATTTTGTACTGAAATAGTAATTTTAAAGGTAAAGGAATTTAAAAGGGTCTAATATAAATACTGTCTGTAACAGTTTAAAACGCGAAATATACTCTTCGGATGCTTTGCAGCTTTTGCTTTTAATAAGTTTAACTAGTATATTTCGCGTTTTAAACCGTTAAAGTGTTTTATTTAATAGGGTCAAATATATCATATGAGGAAAAAGATTTATTATTATTTTCATTTATAAGTACGTGTCTTATGCAGAACAAAGGGTCTATAAATAGTTTTAGTTTAATTTAATTTATCTTATAATACGTCCTTAATTCCATTTTTTATTTTTCTCTTCCCCTCTGTTTGTTGATAAACATAACCTTTTTTAAGTTTTTTTTTTATAGGCCACTTTAGTTACTATATGTTATTGTACAATTCTCAATATCTGTTGTATTTTCACTTGTTTTTTTTAGGAATCAATTGTTATTATTATCATGTCATGCGCACATTAAATTAATTTTGGCGTAAATTGCGCCGAAGGAAATACTTAATGCAATAACCTAGAAGGTGTTTATGTACTTAGTTTTTTGAAAAGCACGAAATTTTACTTAAAAACGCAAAGGAAACGAGCAAGGATAATGACATGTGCGAGGTTAACTCAAAGGTAGGTCGTAAGATGAAGTAACAAAATAAAATGAAAATTTTATCTAAAAATAATAATGATTTAAAATCCCTATATAAACATGAACACAAGTGCCTAATAATATATAATTATATATATGAAAATAGGGTGAGAGGCGAGTTGTGGCATGTAAATAAAACACTTTTAACGGTTTAAAAAGCGTAACGTATTTAAAATTTATTTTAACTACGGCCTGATGTCTCGGATGCTTTGAAGTAGCCATGTGGTAGTCCCTCTGCGACCACGACTACTGCAAAACATCCGAAACGTCAGGTCGTAATTAAAATAACTTCTAAATAAGTTAACGAGTATATTCCGCGTTTTAAACCGTTTACTGAGTTTTATCTTCATAAAGTTTTTCCAAACATGTACTGAAAAATCTATTCCTTCCTATAATTGGTGCGTTCAACCAATCACCAATTTTTTGACAAGCTCCACCATCTATTGTTTAGTTCTTGGCTTGCCATTCTTTGTCTTAAACTATCTATATTTAACTGGAAGCATCGATAGCTATAAGTATCGATAAATTATTGCTAGTCCGGCACATTCCTTGGGCAAGTTTAAAGTCAATGTTCAGCGCTATTAGTCGGAGAGCACGAAGATGTGATGTACGAGAGCCGTAAATAAACGGGTTGGCTGTATCGCTTATATCGGTGTGATATTGAAATGTTGGAACTGGTTTGCCTCTGGGCTCAAGGGAACGCGGTGACCCTACGGACGGACTCCCGAGGAATATTGAAACGCCAGATCCTCTTGCAAAAGACGAGTCGGCATAGCGAATTAGATGTGGCGCCGATTGAACTATTTATTGAGTCCTGTGTACACGCTAAGCTCGTTATGACTGCATAAGTGGGAATTTCGATGCGCATGCGTCTGCAATAGCAAATATTGGCAATTGAGAACAACAAAATTATAATCGTGGGTAGCTAGATATATAAAAGAAATAAAAAACATTTTGTATTAAACACATTCAATAGAGTAAGCACGAATAACATAAAATGTTCTGTACTTCTTCCTTTAGTAAATAGAGAAGATCGAGAGTTTAATTGAATACAATGAAATTATCAAGCCCTGAACTGTCGGATTTTTGTTCCGAAACGTTGTTGTCATCGCTTCTGTAGATGGTAGCGTTGTTGTGTTCACTAAAATACATAATTTTTAAAACGATGCAAAACGCGCGTAGGGCTGAGAAAAACTTAGTCCACTGTACTTTAAAAGTACGTTTAGTTCTTAATTCTTTTGTTTTTTTTTTAATAAACAAGGCGTTTCCCCCTTACAAGTTGCTGGTACATTTGGAATAGAATATACTAACTGTGCCAGCGACTTCGTCCGCGTAGAATATATATGTTGGGCATCAACATTTTTTTATCCACTACGTCGGTCGCCTCATGTTACAAGCTAATCTTAAAAGATAGTATGGATAACATAATATATTATCGCGGGTTTCTTTTTAGACTTTTTCACAGGAATCAATCTTTCATACATATTTTTTATGCATCTTGATTTGTTTTGGCAGCGCTTGCAACGGAAATAATCAAAGGTTTTCTTCGATTCTATTGGTCGCAGCGTGAAATTTTATAGTCTTCTTGAAATGTTCTAACCAATAAAAAAATAATTTTTCAATTCGAATCAGTAGTTCTTGGGATGAGAGCGTTGAATAAAGAAACAAACACACTCTTCAGCTTTATAATCTCAGAATAGATTATTTTAAACAATGAAAATATACTTTTAAATAACCAAACCATACATTTCAAGATATTATTCTGCTGTTTTTAAATTTAACGTACCGAGTACTAAACGTTTGGCCCTAAATGAATAAAAATCAATGTTTGATTATTGTTTCTATTGAATACGGATTTTGAAAAATTCTTTATCCGAATCGCAGCAACGGAAATCAAATCGAGACATCGACTGCAAACAAACAACATCGAATGCACCAACAAGTCGGTTAAAAAACCCAAATCGACTAAAAAGTTGGCAGTAGCCCTACAGCGTATAACTGTGTGCGTAGCGTATAGCGCAAAAGACTCATGTGTGAGTGGGTCGGCGCGGCGTGATGTGTTGGTATTTATCCCACATTAGTATGCAACCGTTTCATTGATCCGACCTCTTTGTTCGTCCAAACCCTTTATTTGATCTCCTCAGGATTGCTACAGTAGTAATAACATTACTCGCTATTAATTGACCTTCAAGTGAACAGTGGCTGTCAAAATGTGGACACGGGTTTGACTTGAGGAATTAATTTTTGATTTTTATTGTATTTTGTAAAACTATAGACTTTATCTAAGTTGAATACTGCCGTGACATTGGAATGCTGCAGAGCAGCCGAAACGTCGTGCTTAAGTTGAAAATCATTTTCTGAAAAAAATTCTAACTGGGTGTTAATATATCGCGTTTCTAAACCGTTAAAGTGTTTTATTTAATTTATCTAATTTTCTTATTCCTCAGATATCGGAATTCCAGACAGCTTATCTAAAATAATTATTTTGCCATTAAGCTAAAATTAAATATATAACTTTATGTTATTAAGCAATACTAAAGAAGTGTCAATGGTTTCCGCTATTTACATAAACACATAATTGTCTATACTTCTATAGTTCATGATAGTGAAATGCATTTAATAAAACGGATCAAAACGGGTAATTTATAAGAAACATGCTGCCATGACATGCCGCTTAACAGCATCAAAAACAGAAGTTAAAATTGACTAGTAATTTTTTTACGACGGAGCAGTTAAATACCCTCGCAATATAACATATGAACTAAATGCGTTGTCGCCCTATTTTGGCTTTGGATATTCGGAATTCCACATCCAAAACCGAAATGCGATGAAACATCAAGGCTTTATCATCGGTGTTTTTTCTGCGTTTTAAACCGTCTTTTTTTAAGTCATTGCATATGGAAATCCTCTACCTCGAGGTGATTCTGTAGAGGAGATAATTTAAAGAACCTCACCATCTAATACAGGTTAATATAGAAAATCGATTTCGAACTCGGCGTCCAATGGAGATCAAGACAGGCCGTTTCCCCGCACTGTTAAGTACTACCCGGCTGAGATAAATCGCTTCACGTTTAACGGTGTTCTGGTAGTGTTTCCTCGTAATCCCACTCGGCCGGGTAATAGTCCCCGACACTGTGTGGGTATATGACAATATGTAACCTGTGCTGAGCCGCCGGTATCTCGCAATAAGTTACTTTTGTTTGTAAGCGCTTAAAACTATAGTATATGGAAAAAATATCTATACAGCTATATTAGCTTAGCATATTGAAATTATTATTTTACCTCTCATTAAAAATAAAGTAGTAAGATGTTGGGGATATTATAAGTTACTTATTGGGAAATCACATCAGTTTTTATCAAGTTATGGCTAAAGCAACACAGGAACAAAGGAGACTTCTAAGACTGCTTATAAACATATGAAAAAATTAAGTGGAATGAATTTAACAATGAAATATTTATTACAAAATCGCAAGATCGTTGAGTTTTGTACTAAAATGAAAAAATTGAAAAAAAAAGTGTGTAGCATGATTTTGGATTATTTATTTATTTAATAAGACGTACACAAACATGTTTTAGGATTATTCTTAAATTAAACATTGATTTTCTTCTCAATATATTTTATAATCTCTTCGTATTAAGATATTCATAGATATATATAAACTACATACTCAACTTAAATATACTTAGACACATCTGAATTTTTTGGGTGTACTATAAGAACGAAGCGCGTACCGATTAAATGAGGTGCTCGCGTTTCTCTAGATAGCTAAGAGATATTACTTTCTCCTTTCCACTAAGTAAATTCCATGTTTTCTCTCTTTCCTTCCAGGCTATGCAGCCTCATCTCGCCGGCACCTCGCCGTCGCCTCAGTCACATATTTTATTTGTAGAACCTTCCTGGATCCAGAGTGGACGAAGGCTTAATATACACGAGGCGATTGGACGCGATTTTGCGTGAAGCGTACAGGAGGGACATATGACATTTGCAGCTACAATAGTGTAGGCTACCGATCGGTCTCTGTGTGGGGACCCTTAACTTTGTCGAGCCTGCCAATAATATTCACCCACACACTTACCTTAGCAGTAATCGTAGCCAATTTTATGCTTCAACTTATAGGACACATATTATTAGTGTAAAGGCGACGATCTTTGGGCTGTAAATTCTCCGGCGAATAGCTAAAATGTTTATACTCGGTGGTTACAAATTCGATTCTCTTTAATTCGATTTGTATTTTACGTATTCCTATTCCTATAAATGCGAAAGTATTATTATCTCTGTTTTATGTTTTTTGTACTGATGGTAGGTGAAATGCCACCGGTCACATAACATCTAAACGAGACCTATTTTAGATATAGATATGGTTACAGCAATAGACTATTGTTAGACGATAATATTGTTGTAATTAAATAATGTTTTGATTGGATTTTGTATAAGTCAAATCTTAGTGGTACAAATACACCCATAAAGAACACCACAAACTCTGCCTCACTCTTCAGTGGTTCACAATTAAGCAACAGAAATGTTTTATGAGGGACAATCATTGCCGTCGATATTGACGTGCCCGAGGGATGAGTCTCCACAATTTATTAGCCTCACATTCACCAACCTCTTCATTAATTTACATGACGCTTCCCAAGAAAACCTTTAAAACTCCATTCCACCTCTTGAGTACTGAAAGAAAGTACCGCACGGACAAAATGCTTCGGTCGACGCCAAAAACAAAATGTCGTTAAGTTGGACTTTATTTAAATGCGCCGAAGACGCGATTTCGAAGACGAAAAGACGAATTCCCATCAGCGAACGGGTCATGGTGCTTGCCGCGTTTAAATGGTATTATTTTATTTTAAGTGTGCAAAATATTTTATGATTCAACAACTCGGGCTTTTCTGGATTTCTCGTCTCGAATTTATGAACTTACGCAAGCAGATGGACTTAACATAATTGTATAATAAACTCATATTGTACCGTGAATGTGTTGCGCGTGAGTTTTACCAATTATTTGTGTTTGCAATTCTTATTTATAATTGAATAACACGAAAAACAGGATGAGAGGTAGCGGTTGTTTTAGAAAGAATGTTCAATGATAAAATTATGTTTGGAAGTCCTGGACCACTTTTCCTTTGATATAAAGTACTTGAAAGTTGTTTTGATCCTCTTGTTGTAGGCCCATGTCCCAGCTCTTGAAACTGTTACAGAGAGATAAGGCTGATAATTGAATATACCTATTCTAACCTATAAATGTTCCACTGTCTTCTATGCGAGAGAATTAGACCCACCGTACTGGTCCAGTGGAAATCACTAAATCAGAAGAAGACAACCAGGATTATACTCTTCGATATACATAAGAAAATATCAAAATTTGTATAATTAAAGAAACAAGAGACAAACATATTTGTTTCAACAGAAAAGGATTGAATACCATTACAGCGGAATGGTTAAAGTAAATATTCGTAATTGCCAATAACTAAACAGCTAGAATAGGAAGCCTGCATAAGCAACAAAGCACTAGACAAAGGAGTTCGAACGAAGTTCACGCATATTTAAATAAATAAACTGAGCAAGAAGAGCGGAGAGGCGTACGCGCACTGTAATGCTTGTAACCGGGAGTAAAGTTGTTTGGATGCGGTTAATTTAATTTTAAAATTGCAAATAATTAAAGTGATAGTCAGCAATCACTTTTATTTCGCGAAGAACATTTACATAAATATAAGTTTGTACATAAAAGTTGCGCAAGAGGTCGATTGGTTGAAGAAATTCGAAGAACGGCTTAGACACATACGCTAATTGTAACTTGATGAGTACAAACAAGCCGGGCGTCCAACTTGATAGGTAGGCATTGAATTTTGTATCCTTGCTATATTCACATTCTAAAAATGATACACGGCTTTTTCAGCTATTTGGACTTTGTATCGTAACGCGCACAGTATTTTAGTATTCCTATCACTCATTTAATATCCATATTTCCAGACGAAGTCAAAGATATTTCAGAAAAAATATAAATAGATTTGAAAAATTTTGGGTCGGTGGATCTGCCACCCGTTGATTATTGGCCATACATTACACCAAGGAACCCGTCGTCAATTGGTTAGAGTAGCAATATAGTCGACTTTTTTTATTATGAGCCACATCCATTCTTAATTATGGCTCCGTGACAAATGACCGCGAATATCGGTGCCGGCCGTGAGAATCCGATCCTCTGCGATATGCGCTGTACTGAGTCGCACTGGACACTGGCTTGTTCTAGCTAATGTAATGTATTTACCATACAGAGACATTTAAATGGCATTTGTTCTCTAACTATAACGGCGTTTTATGCGACTTCTTTCAACTCTTATTGTTTTAAATAGTAATATGCGCGGGCGCAGATTAGTGACAATTTCATTATTGATAAAAGTCGTATATAGCCAAGAACACAAAGGACTTTACTACAAAAATATGACGGTTTTTGTAAGCTAATGTTTAAACGTGTCACCTAGCGTTGAGCGCGAGAGATACTGGGGTCGATTTTTGTGGAAGCATTACATTGTTTTAGTCGGGTTATAGGAGCCTGATCAACTAGTAACCTGTAAAAGAAGCGATCAGTGAAACGGACACAGAATTGTGTTGTTCTCTTTCCGTGTCTTAGCAATGATATTATAGGCCATCATAAATACGGGAAAATTAATAAAAATGAGAAGTTAACGATATTCGTTTAAGCATTGAACAGGTAGTGTGTATTAAGTAATTTTAATAATTCAGCTGACGTTTGGGAATCCCAAAAACTACATCCAGAAATAAGACCACTGCATTCAATAAACTAAGAATTAATGAAAGTCGTGCATAGATAATATCGTCGGATAGTCCGCTATTTCCAGTGAAAAAATGTCGGTAGTTGTTCCGCTTGGCAGATTGAAACTTATATCAAAGATTACAATCACCGTTTGTAAACTGTAAATGCCGCCGTGCGAATGAGTTGCTACATAAATCAACCAACCACAAACTTGCTTTATTGTCTACTTGTCATCGCTATAATCCAACATCTTTTATGAGTAAGCTTATAGTTTCGCCTTATTTGGACTTGTAATTGTTGTTTACGGAATAATGTTTGTAAGGACAGCGCGTTGTTAGAATAGAATTTAGTTGAGCCGTTCAACTGAGGCACAATATAAACTAATATTATAAAGCAGAAGTGTTTATTTGTTTATTTGACTTTACACTTTTAACCGTTTAAAACGCGAAATATATTAAGAGCGGCTGCTTCGAAGCATCGTTATATTAAATTCAAATAAATTAACTAATATATTTCACTTTTGAAATCATTTTGTATATGAGGTTTTATAAGATCTATTAGTTAAAATTTACTTATTTAATTAGCACTTAACACGCACGTTAGATTAACATTGTAGAAAATACTTGAAATAAATTTTCAAGAAAAGATTTAGAATTTATGTATAAGCTAATTTTCAATAAACAGAATCATATAAAGAACAAGTAATGAACCATCCTTCTGTGCAATATACCTTGCCATGACCATGTCGCAGAGCCTTAAAATGTCTTAAGTAATAACATTAATAATTACCTGTGTAAATTGCAAATGAATCCGCCGTCGCATCATAGCGGCCAACAGAAACCAAGGTCCAAGGCTTATGCGACAATCGCGAGAATAATTTTTCCTTCTTCCTGAACGGAAAAACCTTGCTCATCGCTAGAGGTCGCCGTCCAAATACAATAAGTGATTTTTCTGTTCGATGTACGTTGTTGGTCTCGTTTCAGAATGTAGTATGTATACTAGTATGAAAAACTGGTTATTAAAAAAAAACTCAACAAAACCAAAAAATAAATAAGAAGCATTCGGATAATATTTAATCTAACTATACCATAACCAATTAGCTAGAAAAAGATAAGAACGAGAAGAAGAAGAGATAAGAACACACACAACAATAGCAAGTATATCTTTCAGTTTTCATTATTGTGTGCTAAAATTAACACGAGGATAATTTCCTGGGGGGCCCCCCCCCCCCCCCCCCCCCCCCCCCCCCCAAAAAAAACCCCCCCCCCCCCCCCCCCCCCCCCCCCCCGGGGGTATTTCCCAATTTTTTCCAAAATTTTTTTTTTTTTTTTTTGGGAAAAAAAAAATTCCCCTCTTAATATCGGATTTTAAAGAGGCTCGAGGTTCCCTTTTCCAAGCTAAACACGAAAGAAGCATCTGAAAGTCGAGGGATAGTTACCTAACGCGAAGTAATCTAGTAATGGGCTGTAACAGGGACTCTCTCTACTTAACGTACGGTGAAAGTGTGTTACATAAGTCGCCCTGCGTTGCCGCAAATCAAAGAAGTGACTTCCCCCACCGACTGCACTAATCTACTTGATTAGAGATGTGAAATTAAATATTACATGAGTAGGAAATGAGTGTATTGAGGGCACCGTGTTGTTAGTTTCTACATAACATTACGCACTACTAGATAATTAAGCATGCATTAAAATACACTTTTAACGGTTTAAAACGCGAATATTATTAGTAACCTTATAATGTATTTTTACATCTAGTTTCTTCAAATACAGAAACAGATGGCGCTACCGTAGCAGATTTAACTTTGACATTAGGGACACCCTCCATCTTCAGTCCTGCTGTAACCACGACTGCTGCAAAGCATTCGAAACGGCAGGCCATCGTTGAAATACATTTTTAAATAAGTCAACTAATATATTTAGAGTTTTAAACTGTTAAAAGTGTTCTATTTAAACGTGTAGTACTCGCGTAAACGACATACAATATTAAACATGCATTCAAAATCAAGATAGAATATTGTCATATTTGGTAATTTGTAAATGGAAATAAAGGTAAAATAATTTTATACTACGACCCGACGTTTCGGATGTTTAACAGCAATAGTCGTCATTAGATAAGTGGTATAGTTTATATTTTAATATGTTAAGAGTTTTATTTCAAAACTCCTTTGTAATCTGAAATATAGTAT